CACTGGTCAGATGGGTTAGTGGATCCATAACCAAAAAGCTCCTCCCACCCACTCCTCTATAACAGAATTCTTGTTCTATTAAAAGCTTTGTTTTCAAACATGAGGGTACTCTGACTGACTTTTTCTTTATGAAGAAATATCTAAGGGTACTGCATGTGTGGTTTTTCCTCATAGGAGGCTACTTTTTAAAGGACTTCTTGCTTTTATCATATTTATTCCCAACCTAGAGTTGCCATTTGACATGACATTTTTAAGAGTGAGTTTGTAGTTGTGATTGTGTGGTCTGAACCTTTGGTCACATGTCACTCTTATTAAAGATTGCTGGGTTTTTCTTTCCATGGTGGGGTGCTGTGCTCAAATTTTGTGGCTTTGATTACAAACTCGCATGTTCCTCCAGCCAGTAAATGCAGGAGTTATGAGCATGCACACACAGAAACCTGGACGATGATTGAGCACAGGCCACACAAACGAAAAGATTAAAGATCCATTCCATTCCAAATTTCTTTTTCTATTGTGGCAAAAAAGATAATGTTTTTAAGTACAGTGGTGCCTCGCAAGACGAAATTAATCCGTTCCGCAAGAGTCTTCGTCTAGCGGTTTTTTCGTCTTGCGAAGCAAGCCCATTGACGGATTAGCGCTATTAGCGCTATCAGCTGTTTAGCGGCTATTAAAGGCTTAAAGGCTTAGGGGATTAGCTGCTAAAAGGCTATTAAAGGCTATTAAAGGCTTAGCAGATTAGATAAAGGGGGAAAAGCGAAAAAAATCTCAAGACTCGCAAGGTATTTTCGTCTTGCGAAGCAAGCCCATAGGGGAATTCGTCCTGCGAAGCAACTTCAAAACGGAAAATCCTTTCGTCTAGCGGTTTTTCCGTCTTGCGAGGCATTCGTCTTGCGGGGCACCACTGTACATTATTTTAGAATACTAGCTGATTAATAACACTGTGTGGCAGCATGCTGAAAAAATCCCCTATTAGTCTTGTATGAAGGTGCACTTGATATGCATAAATCTGGTTTGGAATATTTGGTTTCACAGATTGTACAAACCTACTTAATTCTTAAAAGTGGGTTTTAGAATATATGAACCTATGATAACTTCTCATCAGAACAAGGGCCGTCACATGGCAATGTGAGAGTCTCACCTTAACTAAGTATTATCAAAACTTCTGTTAGGAAAGTAGCAAGGTACGTATGTATTCTGTATGTGTATATATTCACCTGTTGTCTTAAACTGATCAATAACATATTTGTGCCTGTTTAAAGTCATTCAAGTCAGGAAAGCTCACGCAATTATTTCTGGAAAAAACACTGTAAGACACCACTATCTTTTGTCTCTCTGCTGTTGAACTGGTTGTTAATCAATTGAATTATCTCAGAACAAGTGGAATCTATCCAGCTATGCTATAAGGCTGCCCAGACAAAGTGAATTCTGTCAAGAATGTAAAAAAAGATGCTAACTGCCCCACCAAATTCTGTTTCTTCCCTGTATGCAAGAAGAGATGGACTCTTCCACAGTGGTAATGTGGGCAACCATGTGGGGTGACTTGCGCTATGGGGGAGAAGTGGAGATCAGCCTATTTAAGCCCCCTCCACCCCATACTCTCCCCTCTTTTCACTGAGGCTCCCACCCTCCCGCCCCTTTTGCAGTGTGGGCTCTGCTAGTCGCTTTCATTGCAGTGACTGAGTAGGATTTTTTTGGGTGACACTAATTTACACTAATTGGCCCAACAGGGACGCGGGTGGCACTGTGGGTAAAACCTTTGCGCCTAGGACTTGCCGATCGCATGGTCGGCGGTTCGAATCCCCGCGGCGGGGTGCGCTCCCGTTGCTCGGTCCCAGCGCCTGCCAACCTAGCAGTTCGAAAGCACCTCCGGGTGCAAGTAGATAAATAGGGACCGCTTACTAGCGGGAAGGTAAACGGTGTTTCCATGTGCTGCACTGGCTCGCCAGAGCAGCTTCGTCACGCTGGCCACGTGACCCGGAAGTGTCTGCGGACAGCGCTGGCTCCCGGCCTCTAGAGTGAGATGAGCGCACAACCCTAGAGTCTGTCAAGACTGGCCCGTACGGGCAGGGGTACCTTTACCTTTACCTTAATTGGCCCATGTCACATCTTTTTTGCCTACTTCACACTGTTGGGTGTTGTCTGTGTGACTGGAGTGGTGTTTTGTTTGAATCTGGCTAATTGGCATTTGGTCCGGGTAGGTGAGTGGATTTTGGAAAATATCTGATAGAGTGGTGCTTGGGCCTGTCTGGCGCACTGGGGTGAAAAATGACCAACGGGGTCACAGTGTGCATGTCAGGTTCATATACCCAAGGACTATGCAGTGAGGGGGAAGAATATCATTAGACCTTTACGCAGGATCACAGTGTGCAGCTGGCAGCTGGATCAGGAGATGGGAAAGTTGGAATATTCCCATAAATGTACCTCACCACCCAGATCTCATTGGTTTTGGCTACTTTTGGTTGAATTATTCTGATGGCCAGATTCTATAGTTGTTATATTTTAATAAATATAACTTGCTGCCCATCTTTCTTGTCTCGAGTCTTCTTGAGTGTGTTGGCAATTTCTTATTGTCAGGCAGCCTTTGAATCTCCTCTTTGAAATTTACATTTCTTTCCCACCTCATCCAAAGGACTGTAATGTAATATTATCTAGACTCTCCATGAAATTTTTATCTGTCTGATAACTGTGACCAATATTCCTATCTCCTAAACTACACTGCAAATCCATGCTATACTAGGATTCTGTATATGCATCAGAAAGTGTTGTGGCCAATTGCTTGTTATACACATATTACCTTGGTATTGCACCTCAGGTCTATCTCTATGGCAACCCAGCAGAATTGCCTTAGCAGCCCGTTAATATTATTTTTATAAGATGAATTACAACTATAATTAACTTCTAAAATATGGCCTATAGTAGACATATATTAAGATTTGTAAAAATGTGTGTGCGCACACATGCTTCATTTTTTCTTGGTTAAATAGTTAACTGAATGTATCTATCAAAATATAAAAAGCCAGTGACTGAAATAGCCTTCCAGAAACGTGTGTGTGTGTGTGTGTGTGTGGAGGGAGGGGGAGAGGGAGAGAGAATGTGTGACGCACAGCTTTCAAAGGTGCCTGAATTATTCTAAGTCTAATGAGAATTTCCAGGAAAAACATTAGAGAGCATTACTGCAAGTATAAATTATGCAAACGAAGAGTGTCAGTTCTTAACCACAACAGTCAATGAGATTTCTTGTCTCAAAGTTGAAGGTCATGACTTTTGAGTAAGTCTCCTTTAGTGCTACACCCAAACATAAATTTCAGCATTCACAAAGGATTAAAAATCTTATTACAGGTTTTGTAGCATGCATAATATTAGTTATGCGGCGCTATCAGAATAAAAGTTGCCTTATAGCATTACACAGGCAAAATGCAAGGGCAAACCACCACCTAAGCAGTTTTCCAGAGAACTCCAGGGTTCCTTGTAAGCCTCCCTCCAAGATAATGTAGTACAGCTTACCCATCACAACCAAACTTCATCTGCAACATACAGGGAAGAACAGGCTATGTTCAAGAATGCACTTCCAAGTAATAAAAGCAAGGGTGAGGCCAAACTGGCCTGGTTAGTCCCTGGGTGAACAGAATGTGCTAAGAGAAATACATGGGGAACCAGATGTTATGGGACTACAACTTCCATCAACCCCAGCTAGCACTGCCAATGGTCACAGACAAGGCAAGATGTAGTCCATTAGCATCTACTGTACAAGCCCATCAGTTTGCCATCCTTGTCCCGGCCCATACCTCAAGAATCCTCCGGAATGTGCTGGGATTCCACAGCTGACACAAAAGATTTCCTCACAGACAAGCTGATATAAAATGGGTTCCGTGAATGTAGATCGTTAGCAACAATGGCTTTAGCTAGCAGTCTTCCATGTGCATTTTCTGTGGCCTACACTACATAAATGTTACTAAGCTCAGTTCAGCTGGAACTCTGCAAATGTACAGGGGCTGTGTGTCTCTTTTGGCTTTGATCTGAGCAATGAGCACAGCATCAATACAAGGAATCAGAGGGAGGAAGTGCCGTTCATGTGGTGTCCGCCCATCAAAGGAAGCACCAGTGATTTCTACCAAAGACCTCTCCATAGTAGATGTGATGATAGGAAGTTCTCAATCATAGCATAACATGCCTGTCAAACTGATCCACCGAAGCTCTAGCCTTCTCTAATGCAAGTATCTGTTAAGGATAATGATATAATTTCCTGAAATGCAGATGTTTACTTATGCTAAATTACTGGGTACTTTTAACATGGGTCTCCCTCCCGGCAGTTGCTCTCATGTTTTTGGCTGACTGAATCACAGAGAGGTATTTCATTCTGTTGTGACTGTTATTCCAGTAACTGTTATTTTTTAACTGTTTTCTGTTCTCTCTGTGCATGTGTGTGTGTGAGGGACAATGGCTGCTAAGGGAGGATATTTTCAGGATACTGCTGAGGACAGTGTTGTGTCAGCGTGATCTGTCAGAAGTGAAACAGACAGAGAAAGATCCCTAAACGTTAATAGGGAGAAACCTGTGCAGGAGCTCTCTGTAAGGAACAAAGAAAATACTGCTGAGGTGAAAATAAAAACCTTTCAAAATTGTAAGGCCTGAGTGAGGTAAAACTCTGGTGCACGTCTCAACACAGTTTTGTTTATAAGTCTAAGAAGACTTCAATCCCATCAGATGTCAAAGCGATAAATAACTACCTGACATTTAGAAGGCATCTTAAGGCAGCCTTAAGGCAGTTCAGGGAAGCTTTTAATCTGTGATATTTTACTGTATTTTTTGTTTCTATGGAAGCCGCCCAGAGTGGCTGGGGAAACCCAGCCAGATGGGCGGGGTACAAATAATAAATTATTATTATTCCATCCACAATTCAAATGGGAACATACCCATGTTTGAACAAGCATGTGATTGTTTATGTTTATGAAAGTAAAGTAAAGCTTAACATAGAGCAGCCTCCTGAAGGACTAGAAAACTTAACAAGTGGGGAAACCAGCTCTAACAAAAGGGGTAAAGTCCGGTGGGAAAATGATATTGTGACAGCTCATTATAATGTACCCAGACCCCTTTTGTTAGAGATGGTTTCTCCACTTGTTCAGGTTTCTAGTCCTTCAGGAGACTGCTCTATATTACGCTTTCCCAAGATGTTTCAAGCCCTGCAGGAACTAGATTTCTTCAGTACACTGCTGCCTCGCAAGACGAAATTAATTCGTTCTGCGAGTTTTTTCGTCTTGCGATTTTTTCGTCTTGCGAAGCACGGTTTCCCACAGGGTATTAACGGTTTTAAGAAAAAGGAAACAAACTTGCAAGACGTTTTCGTTTTTCGTCTTGCAAAGCAAGCCCATAGGGAAATTCGTCTTGCGAAGCAACTCAAAAAACGAAAAACTCTTTCGTCTTGCGCGTTTTTCGTCTTGCGAGGCATTCGTCTTGCGAGGTACCACTGTATAGGCTAGTTCCTTTCTTTTCTTTCTTTCCTGTTCACCTGCGCCTAAGTAATGCTTTCTTTGGGACTTGTCAGGACCCTTGTAGGAAGTGCAAATCAGTGGCATCCTGAAGAGGCGAGTGGATCCCTGTTCTATTTTAAAGCATATTAAGGCCCTTCTCTGTGTGCTGCCTCCGAGAGGGGTGGGGTGGTCACATGAGAACAGGTCTTCCCAGTGGTCGCTCCCCATTTGTGGAATGCTTCAACCAGGGAGGCATGTTGGTGCCATCACTATCTGTTTTTAGGCCTAGTCAAAAACAATTTTATTTTTTTCATCATGTTTTAATTTTCAACATGTTTAACAAATACAGTCAAAACAGCTTTCTCCTTCCTCTTATTTTTGTCAACTTCTCACCCCTTTTTCGATGGAGTTGTTTCTCTTCTTTTGCTGCACCCTATTTTCTTTCTATCAAATCATAACCACAGTATTATGATCTAATTACTTCTGATGCTCATAGCTCAAGTCCTGCTAGCAAGTTCATCATACTATAATCTTTCTTTAAATAGTCTGAAAAAGGCATCTATTCTTCCATACAACACTCACCATTAGATTATCTTAATTTTGCTTTACATTTTGCATAGCCCATTATCTAACTTAACCACTGCTCTTTCGTTGGAACTTCTTCTTCCTTCCATTTCTGTGCATATAAAATCCCAGCTGCTGTTGTTACATACATAAACAACTTTAGCATGGGGCAGGGGGAGATTTCTACCCCATAAGTGTTTCTAAAATGACTGGCAGTACAGAAGAACTGGGAAGAGGGGCAGTCTTTCAGAGGAGAAAATTGAAGAGTGTCACTGGGCACGTGTACAGTGATACCTCATGTTACGTACCGTCCCCCTTACCAATGCTTTGGGTTACGAGCTCTGCTAACCCGGAAGTAGATGCCCCTTGTTGTGAACTTGGCCCTGGGATGCGAGAGGAAGTTGCGTGCCAGCAGTGCAGCAGCAGCAGGAGACGCCATTAGTGTTAAGAACGGTTCCGGGTTACAAACAGACCTCCGGAACGAATTAAGTTCGTAACCGGAGGTACCATTGTACTTAGATCTTTTCCTATTGAAGATTACAGCTTCCTTTGCTACTCTGTTATGTATTAGAAACGACTGTAAATCTGTGTGTGTATAAAACTTTGAATAGGAAAGCCACTAAAAATTCGCACCACACTGAGATAGTCTTTTTTAACACTCAGTAATCAGGTAGTTTAAATGGCTTTATAAAATTATACAGTTTTTACCACATTTGTCACAACAATGATGCAAGCTGATGTTATATAATTGTAAGTTAAAATAGGTACATCATTTGACTACAACACATTGCCTAGAAAATCTAATTAGGGTGTGGGAGGACATGCTCCAATCCATCATTTCTGGTCATTTTCAACACTGCAGATTCTATGTCTGCGGATTCTTCTACATCAAAGATGAGATCATTCTGATGCACAACTTTGACCACGCAGCAAAGACTGAGGGAAGAAACTGCTGTGGTTTATATTCAGCAGTTATTTAGCTGAAGCAATGCCACCTTGAGTTTTCCATACAAATAAGTGAAAACAGGGACAGAATCTTACAGTGTATTCCCGTCTCTTAAGAGAAACACTGCCATTTTGGGCTCCGAAATAGGGTTCTTCTTGTCCTATTTGGGATTCTTGGGGACAAGGGAGGAGTTTCAATCCGAGCTAGGAGTAGTTTAGTTCAACCCTATGAAACTTATTCATAGACCTGCATAGGATTTCACTCCTAAATACACTAAATTATATTGTTTCCTTACTGTGATTTGTATTGCATTGTATTAGATGTATAGTTGTACCTTGGATCCCAAACACCTTGTGACTCGAACGTTTTGGATCCTGAACACTGCAAATCCGGAAGTGAGTGTTCCAGTTTGTGAACGTTCTTTGGAAGCCAAACGTTCAGCGTGGTTTCCATGGCTTCTGATTGAGCTCAGGAAGCTCCTGCAGCCAATCGGAAGCCGCATCTTGATTGTTGAATGTTTGCGGAAGTCGAAGCAACTTCCAAAACAGATTCCGTTCAACAACCAAGGTACTACTGTATATTGGAAACATGAGTTCGGACAAATTTTATTTTATCCCCTTCCCTCCTGCATCACTAATATATTAAGATTTTTCATCATCCATAACAACTAAAATGAACAATAGAATTATCAACTACATTTAGAATAAACACTTGAACACAATTTGAAAAACAGAAATATATGGTCTTCGGGCAGCTTAAAAGTACCAAGATAAAAAAATGCTTCTAGTAATTAAATTATTTTAAATTTAATTTTAGTCTTCACGGTTGTGTGTGTGTTTTTGTGCGTTTTAGAATTCAGTCTTTTAGAATTCAGTACAAGACAGGCAAAGATAGACCTGGTAAGGAAAGGATGAGTAGGTATGGGGAAGACGTTTATGTGTGGCAGCTGGGCAAGGAAACTAATTATCAAGTAATATTATTATAGTCAAAAGTATTCCAGAAAAGCGGGTGGCATGCCTACCTTGGCTACAACAAGGTGGAAGTTCACAAAGGATTTACTAATCACATAGTAAAGAATGCTCTATATAAGGTGTGGACCAGATATCAACAATTACTAGTGTTAAGTTGTGGGTGAACATATCAGACGACAAAGCGATTCTCCAAACAGCTCTTGTTTATTCACAGGTCAGGACAGAACTGAACTGAAGGGTTCAGTCAGCCTGCTTATATAGAGCTCCAGTACAACGTTACTGTAACAACTTTCTAAAACTATCCAATCACTGAACGTCACTTTCGATCCCTTATTTGCATAACTATCTACAGTATCCCCCTGCTGGCCCAGGGTGAGAACTTCAGTACATAACAACTAGAACCAAAAACGCCATGGTGGCTGTTCCCGCTAGAGGCTTTCGCAGTTAAAAAACTAAATATGGAAAGTAATTGGGCAAACTATAGTCAATTATTAAAAGATGATCAGGGACAATTAAAGCTCAAAACATTTGAGGAGGTAAGACATCACCTCACTGTTTGGCTTCAATATCATCAATTAAATAATGTATTTAATTCAGATAAAAAAATAGGGTTCAGGAGAGAAGAATTTAAATTACAAAAAGCAATACTAAAAAATAATAAGAAATTGTTGTCCCAAACTTATGACCTATAATTGGAATGGGACTTAAAAGACAAGGAAATAAAAGAAGTTATGGTCAAATGGGCGCAAGATATCGGCCACACAATATATACATAACAGTGGGAAAGGCTTTGGAGGTCAGATATACGCTTTACTGCCGGTTACGCTATTAAACTGCGGGAGGCAGTGGAAGACAGGAGTGCTTGGCATGCTTTGGTCCATGGGGTCACGAAGAGTCGGACACGACTAAACGACTAAACAACAACAACAACACTATTAAAGAGAATTTAATGAAAATGTGCTACAGGTGATATTTGACACCTTCCAAACTCACCAAGATATATAAATTAAAAAACAATTTATATTGGAAATGTAATAAAGCTGAGGGGACAATGATGCATGCATGGTGGGGCTGTGAAAAAATTAAAAATTTCTGAGGATGTATTCATGAAGAGTTAAAATTCTATTGAAAAGAAACCAGAGGCATACCTATTAGGCATTTTGGGGGAAAGACATCCCACAGGATAAGAAAAGGCTATTTTTATATGCCACAGCCGCAGCCAGATTATTACTTGCAAAAAACTGAAAAGGAGTTATTATCCCAACAAAAGAGGAATGGATAAGTAAATTATGTGAATTTATAGAACTGGCAAAGTTAACAGTAGCCACAAGACACCAGGCAAATCAGAAGTAAAGGAAGGAATGGCAATGCATTGAGGATCATATGAAAAAACACTGCTCTAAGGTTAATATGTTGATATGCTTAGACTAAGTTTGTAAAGTACATATTCAGACGAAATAGAATATATATATATAAGGAATAATATTCAAAAGACGCAATGTTTTTTACCTGTTTAAAGCAAAATAAAAGTTAAAAAAATATTTTAAAAAAGATTCAAAAGACACAATGTCAATAAGATTAAATAACTACAAAGAATGTTGAGTTGGGGGGGGAGGGAAGTCATATGGGTGTACAGTGGTACCTCGGGTTAAGTACTTAATTCGTTCCAGAGGGCCATTCTTAACCTGAAACTGTTCTTAACCTGAAACACCACTTTAGCTAATGGGGCCTCCCACTGCTGCCGCACCGCTGGAACACGATTTGTGTACTCATCCTGAAGCAAAGTTCTTAACCCGAGGTACTATTTCTGGGTTAGCAGAGTTTGTAACCTGAAGCGTATGTAACCTGAAGCGTATGTAACCCGAGGTACCACTGTATATGTGATGGTATTGGTTTTCACTAATGTATAGTATAGATGTGTTCTTTTTCTTTTTGCTTGTCTGTTTTTGGTATGTTCATTGTTTTTTTGTATTTTTGTGCAATCTTCAAATAAAGAAAAGTGTTAAATGGGAAAAAATAGTACTCCAGAAAAGCATCTAATTAAAACCTGTATAAGGCAGGTATGTTTAATTATTTTTCGCTTTAAAGACCAGTGGCTAACTTTCAAGGTCGGGGAGGGGGGGTGCCCGTGGTGGGTGTGGCCATCCCACATTCTACATGCGCACTTTCTTAC